AACCTTTTGAACAAAACAGTGATCTGCCTGCAGGATTCTCTGGGTCAACAGTAGCACAAGAATTACATCAGTAAACAGTCACTTTCTGGTTGGATTTATACCCCAACCATGTGACAGATCTGAGTCCTGACAGGGTTTCTTTTTTAATTTTAAGCAGATAACTTTATCGATTCTTTAGAAATATCACATCATGCACCCCAATCCCATTCATCTCCCTATCCCTCTATATTCACCCTTCACCCCTGAAGCATGCCTTCCCCAAAATTTAATTGATAAAAAACTAAACCAACCAACCAAGCAAGTGCACACCTTGTTCCTCTGTCAGGGCCCATAGACTTAAGGTCAGAGACTTTAAACCCACTATTGCTGCTCAAGGTTAACCACAGAATATTTAACCTAAGGTGTGGCTATTGTCTATCATGCTTTGAAAACAGTATACTTACTTTAGGGTGTGGTTACTTGATGACTTGGGTATTGCGAAGGTAATTGTGCTTGCTTGTTCTTTGTATCTTGTTAGGGAAGTCTCTTTCCCCTTCTCCCACTTTTGACTAGGGTATATAAGGACCTTCTTCCCCAGTATTCACTGGAGCACCCACCCAATTCTATCCTTTGTCTCTGTCTTTTCTTTAGTGTCTACAATTTTTCAACCTGCCATTTCTTAATCCACATTCCCTGTCTCAGGCAAGAACATAGGCAACAATACCCCTCTATCTTTCAAACACTTCTTTCTTCTTCCTAGTGTCATTGAAAGCTATGGTATGTCATGTCCCAATGTTTGTTCAATTAGTCACACCCCCAAAATTCATTGTAGTGTATCATTGGTCTGGTTCAAGACTTCTGGTTCCTGGTATATATCATCATCGCTTTGACCTCACTGAAACTCCTCTAAGATATCCATTTTTTCCTGGACTCAGGGAGATAATGCTGAACGAGTCCCTTCAAGCACTCCAGCAGTTCACAGATGGTGTAGCTGTTAGGGTTGGCTAACACAAGGCACAGGATGTGGGTCTGCTTGATAGCTGAGCTGGTTGGTTTGGGTCATTGGGACCACCTCTTCAGGGGAAGTACAGATCCAGTTCTCCTAGGCCTATGCCATTGGGGGCAGCAATCCCACACCTGTAATGAGGGGTAGGGCCATCTCTCCCAAGTACTGAGGTCAGCTCTCCCATTCAGAGAGGGAAGGAGGTTCTGCTGCAGTATCCACCAAAGATACCTGATACTGTTAAGGGTCCAAGAACCTGAGACAAGGTGGATCCTGGGCATGAGGGAATACTTAATACTATTGCTCTGCTAAAGGAACATAGTGATAAAATGAACCCTAATATTATACTGCTATACTCATTGGTCAGTGCTTCTTTTAACCCTCACCAGAGCTGGGCGGTGATGGCGCACGCCTTTAATCCCAGCACTCGGGAGGCAGAGGCAGGAGGATCTCTGTGAGTTCGAGGCCAGGCTGGACCGACAGCCTCCAATACACAGAAACCCTGTCTCATAAAAACAAAAACAAAAACAAAAACAAAAAAAAAAACCTCACCAGAGAGGCTACTTCCCACAGCAGACGAGACCTAACACAAAACCCACAAGTCCACAACGTGAGAGATTTGGGGCTACTCCTTCCTAAATGGGATTTCTTCCACAAAGCCTTACCCTCCAGGCTCAGAGACCTAAGTGGAAGAGGAAGAGGAATGTCTATAATAGCTAGATGTGATGGATGACTCCAAGGAAACTGTTTCTTCCAGAAACACTAGGCATGATACACTCGTGAATTCACAGAGACTGCCAGCTTATACAGAGCCTCCACATGTTCAATCCAGGTTGTTCCCTAGCACTGAGAAGGGCAGACTGACAAGAGCTCCCAGATCTAGCTAAGTAGTTACCTGCAATTGATAACTGCCAGCAAAGGGAAAAATCAGCTTTGTCTAGGAGTGTGTCAGTCCCTGTCCTGTGCCCTGCTTTCTTTTAAGTCAATCGCTTCTCTTCCAATGGGTCTCTGGGAGGGGCGCTGTTGTAGCAAAGCTTGCGCTGTTGCTAAGGTACTATTGTTTTCACTGTGTTCTATACTCACAGGCTTTAGAAACGTAGGCGCTGCTGTCGTGGTGCATGCAGTTTCCGAGCTGTAGGAGAGAAACTGTCAACTTTGTTGCAAGTGGCATGTAGTTTCCTCACAGTAGAAATACGCTGGTCTTTGCAGATGGGCCACTGCGGGGTGTGTCTGTCACTTCAGTGTGAGTGCTCCAAGATGGCACTCTTTTTATTTCTTTACTGTCTTTGTGCAGCGACACAATAATATCATGTGATCTTGTTTCTCACAGATCAGTCTCCAATCTCTTCTAGTCCCTCGCTGTGAGGGGCGTTGCTATAGCAGATTCCTTGACGCTGTCTAAGCACTCTCATTTCAGGGTGTTCCTGAAATCCGTTTTACCTAGCAATGCACAGTCTGTTGTTCTGATGCAAGCAACGTCATCGTGGTAGCAATCAAAACCATCCGTCACTGGAAAGAGGACAGTTTACCCCGCTGTCAAAGTACAATGGTTTCTTTTTTTTTTCAAATATGACACCGTGCAGTGTTTCAGTCACCTGTGCATTTGTTTTCTAAAGATGTTATTGTGCAAACGTTATACATTCTTATAGTCCGAGTTCCTATCCCCTTCTCTCTTGATCAATATATATCATAGTATAGTGATACAATAATAAACTCATATGCTCTTCTTTCTGGTTTTAAGGGCTGGATCGGTCAGGTTGGGGCACCAAGCTGGACTGGACAAGGCCACATCTGGACAAGGCACCTTGCCCCCTCCCAAGTCCGGGCAATCCAGTCTCCTACCCACCTCCCCTCCATGCCTGGGTGGCATCCTCCCTCTCCCGCCGGGCCCCTTGGCTGCGGTGGCGGGTCCACATAGTGCAAGCGTGCCGGAGGGGGGAGGGAACCCGCGGGCCCTCGAAGGGAGGGGCGGGACCCAGACTCCCTTTAGGGACAGTGGAGGCAGCAACTCAGAGCTGGGACCTTCTGCTGGATTGCTCCAGCTGCCCCAGGTGTCAAGGCAGTACCAAGGAGTAAGACCAGTGCGTTATGCTGCCCCTCCTACTTCAGTCCTCACCCACCTGTGCTCGGTCCTAGGCAGGGGGTTTCTCTGCTCACTCTGCCTTCTCATTGTGCGAGCAGAGCTGGTATTACCCTGCGGGTCTGCCCCTGGCCCCGATTTTTCCTGTGGGGCGCCTTGCCTAGGCTGGTGGCGCCTAGCAGTCTGCTTGGAACTGTTGCAGACCTAGGGAATCCTACTGTTTAATGAAAAGAAAGCATTGCAGCAATGTGATTTCTGCCTAGTGCTTTGAGTGTCAAGGTGAAGAAATTGAATGAACCGAGGGTAAAAGGCGGAAGGGAGTATCTATGACTTTTTTGTTTGTTTGTTTGTTTTTTGTTTTTTCGAGACAGGGTTTCTCTGTGGCTTTGGAGGTTGTCCTGGAACTCACTTGGTAGTCCAGGCTGGTCTCGAACTCACAGAGATCCGCCTGCCTCTGTCTCCAGAGTGCTGGGATTAAAGGCATGCGCCACCAACGCCCGGCTGTATCTATGACTCTTAAGGTAACCAATACCTCTTTATCTAATCACAACTTTTCTTTCAGTACTTCTCTGAGAATTGCATTTGTATAACAAAGTTCTTGCTATTATAAAAACACTACATTTGCCACTCTGTACATAGCAACCCTGCCTTTCCTAAGAAATTATAAGCTCCAGGCATTGGTGGCTCACGCCTTTAATCCCAGCACTCAGGAGGCAGAGGCAGGCAGATTGCTGTGAGTTCTAGGCCAGCCTGGTGTGCAGAGTGAGTTCCAGAACAGCCTCCAAAGCTACAGAGAAATGCTGTCTCAAAAAAACAAAACCAAAAAGAAAGAAAGAAAGAAAAAGAATAAAAAGAGGTTATATTTTCTTTTTATGTGCTTTTATTTTCATGCAAACAACTACAAATTTGTAGCAGTAAGCCATTTGCTTTGCTGTCAAGGGCATTTCGATTTTGCTGTGGAAGTATTACTCTGATTTTGCAATACACTGTGAATAACAATTCTTGGATGTTAACTTGACTACATCTGGAATTAATTAAAATCCAAAAATGGAGGACACATTTGTGAAAGATTTTTTTGTTTAATTTGAAATAAGTAGACCACTTCTAAAGCAGCACCTTCTGCCGGAAGTCTGTAAAAGGACATGGAAGAAGAAAGCTTTTGCTCTTTGCCTGCTTGCCTTGCTAGCCCTCCTATCCTTGTGTTAGAGATAATCCTCCTTTCCTTGTAGGAGAGCTAATCCTCCTTTCCTTGTGTGAGAGCTAGTCCTCCTTTGTATTAGTGCCCACTTCTTCAGGAATCCTGCATATACTGAAGACCAGCTGTGACATCCAGCCTTGGCAAATGAGCAACTCGTTGATTTTTGAACTTTCTGTGTGTAGGCAGCAATTGCTGCATCAGTTGGCAACAGCCTGTAAGACATTCCAATAAAGTTTATATGTAAACTTCATGTTCCGTTACTTTAGGGCAGAGAACCCTAACTCATTTCTTGCGTGGTGTTCTAGTCTCTGGTATCTGAGTGCCAACGACAGTAATGCAAACTGCTCCCATTACAGATACATTTTGCTGAGGTCTCATCTTCTACTCTTGTTGAAACCCTGTCCACGTACAGTGCTACAGTAATAACCTCATGTGGTCTGATTTTTTTCTAACGATCCCATGTGGAATTTTATTGGTAGACAGGGAGGGAAAGGGGGTGAGATGTAACCAAACTGTACAGAGCTGAGAGAGAGAGAGAGGAGAGAGAGAGAGGAAGGAGATGAGAGTAAGAGAGGAGATGAGATGGAGAGGAAGACGAGAATAAAGAGAGCATAAGCAGGCAGGGGTCAGTCCTTTAAAGGGGTCCTTTGCACCTATGTGGTTCTCACAGAACTCTGGGCTGACCAGAGTGCTGCCTGAGTGCATGGAAGGCCAGTGTAAGGCATGAACCTTTCATTCCCATCTTTATTTATGATTAAAAAGAGACGGGGGTGTTAGATGTGGCAGGTTCAGGATCAAGGACATTGAGTTCTTAAGACTGCTTCCTGCTGACCTGGGGGCATCAACCATCTTTGGGGAAACCTGAGAAAGCTGGGGTGTTGCCACATCTGGAGTAGCCGGTTGTTCCATTGTAGTCCTGGCTGTCTGGAACTCTGGCATCTCTGTGGATCTGGCAAGATGTTAGCAGAGTAGAGGACAAAGTCAGGTTTAACGATCAGCCAGGTGGTGGCACATGCCTTTTTTTGCGTATATATACATTTATTTTTTTATTTCCTAAGATATAGTTGTCCATTTAAAATCCTGAATTATTTGAATTATTTCAATGCTCAAGATACATACCATCCAGGCAGAGAAATCAAGGCTGCAGGGCCTTGCAATGGCTGGTCACACCACATCCACACTCAGGAAGCAGAAGGATGAATGTATTCTCAATTCCCCTTTTCCAGTTATATAGTCCAGGGTCCTAGCCAGGGAATGGTGCCAGTCACAATGTGGAGGTCTTTCCCACTTGATTAATGTCATTAGGATAACCCTCTCGGGCATGCCCAGAGACCCATCTCCCAGGTGACTGTAGATTCTGTCAAACTGACAGCATTAGCCATTACAGTAGATGAGGCAGACAGTCAAATAATAAACGTATGAATCTAATTGTTAAGTGCATGAGAGATGAAAATGAATTCCTGTGTTGGTTCAAGGAGCCTATGGACTGTGTAGGGAATCAGGGGATCCTAAGAGAAGAATGGCATAAAGTAGCATCCTGGGTTTGCTATAATGCAATTTCTTTACCCAACAAATATTTATTGAATGTTTACATTGGCTCAGTCACAGGGCTGTTTTCATTCTATAGAACCTGTAGAAAATGTGGTTTCATGTCCATCAAAGTGTTTTAAACACGTGAAAAACAGTATTATATGGAAAGCAAGGAACACGTTTAAAAAAATTAAAACAGCCGGGTGGTGTTGGTGCTTACCTTTAACCCCAGCACTCAGGAGTCAGAAGCAGGTGGATCTTTGTGAGTTGAGGCCAGTCTGGTCTACAGAGCTAGTTCCAGGAGAGCTAAGGCTGCTACACAGAGAAACCTTGTCTTGAAAAACCAAAAAAAAAAAAAGAATATGCTTGAAGGAATCCAAGTTAGTATAGCACCAAGATACCTGTACACTCACTGAATGGAAAATCCATTGTGAGTATGTGTGCCACCACCCCTTGGCTGTATAGCCTATTATTCTGCTAAGCAGACAGTGTATTAAAACACAAATTGAATGGCTTATCATTATATCTATTGAGTAGCTCATCTCTCAACTCTTATCTGAGAAGATATTTGTGAGTAGATGGTGATTAACACAGACACCCATTACTGGAAAAGATTCAGATAATGAGAGCCTACACAATGTTCGTTTGGTCCTAGATGGGATTTCTGTATCACAATCCATTCTTCTAAGGCTCAGAGTTCATTGGGAAGAAAGAGTATAAGAGCCAGAGGTTGCAGATGGCTCCAAGGTAAGAGAGGTTCCCAGACAGAGCAGTAGATATGCCCACAATGTTGAAGTCATAGCAGTTGGACAGAATGCATAAGACTTAACCAAACAAAACCACCTCATGAAGGGGGAAGGTGAGCATTATTAACCAAATCATATTTGTGATTTGTGGGTTTTTTTGTTCTTATGCCAGTATGTAATTTGGAAACAGAGTCGTTAATGTCCCATACGGAAATGATTTTCTTATATATTTTGTCATTTCTCTGTCTCAATTTTGGGCTGGGGTAAGGATGTATTCAGAATGATTTCAGTCCTTTTAAATCGAGACATGCTTCAGGTACAATATTTCAAAAACACTTTCATGTGTAATTCCTACTGACTGGACTTTATGCAAGCAGTGCTTTTATATGGTAGTACTAATGCATCAGACTTTTTATTATTTATTTATTTTTATGTGTACAGTGTTCTGCCTGCAGGTACACCTGCGTTCCAGAGGAAGGTACCAGATCTCATTATGGATGGTTGTGAGCCACTGTATGGTTGCTGGGAATTGAACTCAGGACCTTTGGAAGAGAAGTCAGTGTTCTTAACTGCCGAGCCATCTCTTCAGTATCAGATTTCTCAAGTTTTTATTTCCTTTGCTAACAGATTAAGTACACGTGTGCCCTCTAGTGGTTATATGTATCAGTGCATGCTCTCACGTGTCAGGCCCCAGAAAACGCACAGTTGTTCACCTATCTCTGATTCTTTACAACAGCTACCTAAAAGTTTTGCAAGAGACAAGAAATGTGAACATTATAAAAGGAAACTTTGTTTTGTGAGACGGGTTCCAGTTCCTAGTAAATGCTATGTTTTCCTCCGTGGCCTCAACACAATTTGAATATATGAGCATCGCAAACTGGGTCCTAACGATGCAAAAGCAAACAAACAAACAAACAAAAGACCAAAGAATACATAAAAATGTGGGTGGGGCCTAGGAAAGGGATTGGACATTGGAAGAGTTGAGAAAGGAGATGAATATAAGCATAACACAGTATATGGACTTCTAACAAAGACTTTAAATCAGAAGTATAAAAACATTATGGGAGAGCGGATTACTTAGTGTAGATTCTCTGTGAGCCCAAAAGAGAAAAAAACCTTTATTAGGGAATAAAATCACAAATATATTGACTTGAAACCTAAAAAGAATGTATAAACGGTCAGGTATGAAATGGTAGTATTTTAAGAGAGACTGTGATAAAATAGAAGTCCAAATCTATTCTTTTCTCAGTTCTTCTTAAATTAGAAGCAGAAATAAAATGTATAGTCAGATGGCTGGTGTGAAAGCAGGAAAGAAAATCCTCTAGAAGCAGGAGAGAAAATAAAAGGTAAATATATGTATATATATATATATGACTTGTGCATTTTAATGTATATATGAACATGTAGTAAATGTATTTAATGTATATATACATATATCATTAAATTAAAATTCAGTAATTTAACTCAGTTGTTAATGTGTAATTTATTTGTAAAAATTTTGTGACAACAATTCCATCTGAAGGTAGAATAGTGATCAAATCACCTGGAGGTGGGAAGAGAAGCCAGAAGAGGAAAGTCACTTGCACAGGAACCATACATACTGTTTCCATAGGCAAAAAATCACACTGAATCCTATTAGCATGTACAATGTGCTTTTGTTAATAAAAGTCCATGAGTGGAAAATGAAATTTATATTTTAAAATAATATTCATGCTGGCGTTGGTGGCACCCGCCTTTAATCCCAGCACTCAGGAGGCAGAGGCAGGCAGATCTCTGTGAGTTCGAGGCCAGCCTGGTCTACAAAGTGAGTTCCAGGACAGCCTCCAAAGCTACAGAGAAACCCTGTCTCGAAAAACCAAATAATAATAATAATAATATTCATACAGCAAAAACACAGTGGTTGTTATTTTACTTTATATCATAGCTTATAAACAAAAATTATTTACTACAATTTACCGACTAATGCTATCTCAAAGACTTTAATCATCATTGGAACTTAGAGTTATAGCTGTGTATTTCACAAAACTTAAACTAAACTTAAAGCTCAGTGTGGTAGCTCATGTTCATAATCTAATAATAATTTAAAAAAACCTAGGTGTTGGGGGTAGCCAGCAGCAGGGAGGCAGCATCAGAGAGAGAGAGAGAGAGAGAGAGAGAGAGAGAGACAGAGAGACAGAGAGACAGAGAGACAGAGAGACAGAGAGAGAGACCCTCTGGGAAAGAGCTCTTGCATCCCAGCCAGCATCCACGCCCACCCTCCACATGAGATACCCTACTGCATCAGCAACCACCAGAACCTCGGACTTACTGGCACCTGGAGCAGTAGTCACCAGAAACATGGCCCTGACAAGAAGAAGGAGAGGAGAAGGAGAGGACCAACTCAAAGTCACAAAAATATACTCAACAAAATCGGAGAAGAAAACTTTCCCCATCTAAAGAAGGAAATGCCTATGAAAAAAGAAGCTTATAGAACACCAAGTAGACTGGACCAAAAGAAAAATCCTCCCTCCACACAATAATCAAAACAATAAAAACACAGAATGAATGAATAATATTAAGAGCTGCAAAGGAAAGAAGCCAAGTAACATTTACAGACAGACCTATTAGAATTATACCCGATTTCTCCATGGAAACGATGAAAGTCAGAAGGTCCTGGATGAGCATTGTGTAGACATTAACAGACCATGAATTCCAGCTCAGACTACTGTACCCAGAAAAGCTTTTGATCACTATAGATGAAGAAAAGCTATTCCATGAAAAACTGGATTTAATGAATACCTATCCATAATGGAATCCCCCAGAGAGATCTGGGGGCAAATCAAACCATCCAGAGTCTGCCCCCATTGGAGTCTTGGACTGGCATTCACAAGGAGAGGGAGAGGCCCCACATGCACCCACGGGAAGAAGAGATGGGGAGACTACAGTATAAGGACACACCACCAGAGTCTAGGGATTCTACACCAGCTAGACCTGAACATCCCAACACAGATGAAGCAGAAGAGAATGACCTTAAAAACAACTTTATGAAGATGATAGAAACCCTCCATGAGGAAATGAGAAAATCCCTTAAAGAAATAAAAGAAAACAAACAAAATTTCAAGAAATGGAGGGAAAGACAAACCAAAAAAATTACAACAAACAAACAAATCTCTTAAAGCAAAGAAAGCCAAGAAAAAACAATCAAACAGATGAAGGAAACAATTCAAAGAGTTCAAGACTTGAAAACTGAAATAGAGACAATAAAGAAAACACAAACTGAGGGAATGATGGAAACAGAAAATCTGGGTGAATGATCAGGAACTACAGATACAAGCATAACCAACAGAATACAAGAGGAGGAAATCTCAGGTGTTGAAGATATATTAGAGGAAATAGATTAATTGACCAAAGAAAACCTTAAGGTCAAAAAATTCCTAACACAAAATATCCAAGAAAGACGAGACACTTTAAAAAGACCAAACCTAAGAATAATAGGCATATGATAGTTTACATAAGTGACCCGAAAAATTCTAGCAGGGCACTCCTAAAGCTGATGTACACCTTCAGTAATGTCGCAGGATAGAAGATCAACTAAAAAAAATCATCGGTAGCCCTCCTTTGTGCAAATGCTAAAAGAACCCAGAAAGAAGTCAGAGAAGTATCACCCTTCACTATAGCCACATGTAACATAAAATACCTTGGAGTAACTTTAACCAAACAAATGAAAGACATGTTAGACAAGAACGTTAATCTTCAAAGAAAGAAATTAAAGAAGATGTCATAAAAAAGAAAGATTCCCCATGCTTTTGGATACAAATATTGGCAATCTTACCAAAATCAACCTACAGATACAATGAAATCCCCATGAAAATCACAGCACAATTCTTTATAGACCTTCAAAGAACAATACTCAATTTCACATTAAAAAACATCAAATAAGCCAGAGTAACCAAAACAATCTTGCGCAACAAAGGGACTTCCAGAGGGATCACCATCCCTGACTTCAAGTTATACTAAACAGCTACGATAATGGAAATATCTTGACACTGTCATAAAATCAGGTAGGTTGACCAATGGAATCGAACTGAAGTCCCTGATGCTAATCTACACACACATGAACACCTGATTATTGACAAAGACCAAAAATATACAGTGAGAAAAAAGAAAGCATCTTCAATAAACGGTGCTGGCATAACTGGATATCAACATGTACAAGAAAGCAAATAGATCTGTATTCATCCCCATGCACAAAACTTAAGTTCAAATGGAAAAAAGTCCTTAACATAAATCTAACCACATTGAACCTCTTAGAAGAGAAAGTGGGAAGTACCCTTGGACATATTGGCACAGGAAAACACTTCCTGAATATAACGCCAGTAGCACAGACACTGAGAGCAACAGAGAAGCTTCTGTAAGGCAAACAGTCAACAAGACAAAACAGCAGCCTACAGAATGGCCAAAGTTCTTGATGTAGCCACAATGGACAGAGGACTGTTGTCCAAAATATGTAAAGAACTCAAGAAAGTAGACATCAAAATACCTAATAATCCAGTTAAAAATAGGGTACAGATTTAAACAGAGAATTCACAACATAAGAATCTCAAATAGCTGAAAGACACTTAAGCAATTGCTCAACATCCTTAGTCATTAGAGAAATGCAAATCAAAACATCTCTGACATATCATCTCATATCTGTCAGAATGGCTAAGATTAAAAAAATGCAGATGATAGCTTACGCTAGAGAGGGTGTGGAGTAAGGTGAACAATTCTTCAGTGCTGTTGTGAGTGCAAACGTGTAGAGCCACTTTGGAGATCAGGACGGAGGTTTCTCAGAAAACCGGGAATTGATCTACCTCAAGACCCAGCAATTCCACTGTTGGACATATATGAAAAGGATACACATTCATACAACAAGGACATTTATTGAACTATGTTCTTAACAGCATCATTTGTAATAGACAGAACCTGGAAGCACCCTAGATGCCCCTCAACCAAAGAATAGATTAAGAAAATTAGGTAGATATATACAGTGGAATACTACTCAGAGGTAAAAAACAATGATGTCTTGAAATTTGCATGCAAAGGGATGGAAAAAGCATCCTGAGTAAGGTAACCCAGACACAGAAAGACAAACATGGTGTGTATTCATTTGTAAGTAGATATTAGTAATAAAGCAAAGGGTAACCAGCCTACAGTCCACCACCCCAGAGAGTCTAGGTAACAAGGAGAACCCTAAGAGGGACATACGTGACTTCCCCTGTGAAGGGAAAATAGACAAGTTCTCCTGAGGAAACTAGGAGCTTGAAGGGAGGAGAAGAGAGTCTGAGTAGGCAGGAGGATAGTGGGGAGGAGAATATGGGGGAACAGGATGGTTGAGGTGGTGGATGGACAGACAGGAAGAGCAAGGCAAGGGATATCTTGATTAAGGGCATATTTATGGGGTTATTGTGAAACCTGACACTAAGGAAATTCCCAGGAGTCCATGAGGATCACCCCAGCAACAACCCTAAGCATTAGTATAAAGAGTGCCTGAACTGGCCTTCCTCTGTAATCAGACTGATGACTACCTTAATTATCATCACAGAGTCTTCATCCTGAAGATGCAGATTCTCAGCTAAGCTCTGGACTGATCTTCCAGAGCCCAGTTAAAGAGAGGGATGAGTGATAATATGGGCGAAGGGAGCAAGACCATTTTGGGGGATACACACAGACACTGCTGACCTTAGCTAATGGGAGATCACTGATTCTGGACTGACAGCGGGGGAACTTGCATAGGACCAAACTAGGTTCTCTGAATGTGGATGACGGTTGTGTGGATTGGGAAGTCTGTGGGGCCACTGGCAGTGGGACCAGGATTTATCTCTTGTCCATTTGTGTTGGAGGAACACCTTGCTCAATCTAGATGTAGGGGGGAGGGCCCTTGTCATGCCTCGATGTGATATGTCAAACTTTATTGACTCCCCTTACCCTCTCTGAGGATTAGAGGGGTGGTGGGGTGGGGCAAAGGTAGGGAGCAGGAGGAGGGGAGGAAGTGGGAACCGGGATTGGTATGTATGTATATTTTAAAATAAAAACAAATAAAAAGGGAGGAAAGAAAAAATGTCCACATATCTGAAGCCTGAGTGAGATCCACAGTGACTTTCAGAACACTGCCTAAAAAGAGGACTGTCTCAGGAAAACAAAGGATGAGGAGAGAAACTATCCAAAGGTAGCTATTATGTCTGTGCAGGAGAAGAGCAATGAAAATTTGAAAGAGGGAACATGTGCAGCCAGACTTACCGTCAGCCCCTCAGCTGTGTGTTTCCACAAGAAGCATCCAATTACAAGCTTCTTCATGATGACTTAAGACCACTGCTTCTGAAAGCTCACAATGATACCACCCAGGAGTAAATAATGCAGAGTGTAGATGGTCCCAGAATGAGACCCAACAAAGAAGGGATGAAAAGCAGAGAAGAAAAATGAGTCCAGTCTGTGCCAGAAAAGAGAAAGGACGACTTCTAGAAGGAAGCCAAGGAGTCTTGGAGTCCAATATGCCAGGTGCACTCAATGAACTGAGCACATCCTTCAACACAGTCAGCAAGGAGCCCTTGGGTCTCTTTCTTGGGTCATGGACACACGCCGACAGCTCATAACTCAGACCAACTGAAACGGATTTTCACTTGAGTTCCCTCAGCCAGAGACTATGCATACAGTGTATGTTGATGGGACACATCATATGCAGTTACACCCAGCTTCATCAGTGAACCTTATGAGGAGCACTGCCATGATAGATAGCCCAGGCTAAACGTTGTGGGAAGTGGGATTTCCATGCCACAATTTCCTCTGTTCACCAGCCCACACCTCAGCCTCCATGGCTATTGTTGGTCTCTTGGCATCTTCTCCAACCAATGCCATCTTTTACCTTGGAATGGTGCCTTCCCATTGGATGGTGCCTGATTTATGACATCATGCTACCTCTAACCCTACCAGCACCTAGTAGAATATTGGTGTTCCCATGGTGATGCCTGTAAACAAATTTGGATCATAATAGGTCACCTGTGACCAGTGAGTGATGTCTCATACTGGACACACTTGCCACAGAGGTCTGCTGGTCAGACAAGGATGACCATTTATCTTGCTCCATTGTACTGTGGATCATTGATACTCTCCCCCTGGCAATTTCAGGTAAGGAAACTTTAAAATGTTTCTTTTGATCACTTCTACACTATTTTTAATATATTTTAAAGTCTTTGTTGAATGGGGATACCATTGATGTTGATATAGATATCTCTGGTTGAATATCACATTTAGCTTTGGTTCAAACTAGTTATGTGCATTTGGCAGATAGTTTACTCTCAAGTGCTTTCCATCGACCTCAGGGAGATAACAAAGTCACTATACTCTGGGGTCTGTGTTGTCAAGTCTTAAGACACAAGTGAACAGGGATTAAAATCAGGCCATTTGGCGGGGGGGGAAGGCATTTTCAACAAATGGTGCTGGCATAACATGATGCTGGCATGTAGCAGACTGCAGATAGATCCATGTCTATCGCCATGCACAAAACTTAAGTCCAAATGGATTAAAGACATCAACATAAATCCAGTTACACTGAACCCCCTCAGCAGGAAGTGTGTGCAACTTCTCTAGGGTCTCCAGCCCTGAAGTGAGTTCCGCATGGCTCCTGCCATCAGACGCCAGCACTTGTCAGCAGCTCAATGACAGTGCCCACTTTAACAACGAGCTGGCACGGCCACACTGACTGTACTGAATGACCAGAATCAGGTCTCTACCTGGGCACTCTCCTATCCAGGTGCTCCCCAGGGGGATCTCCCAGGAAACACTGCCTGAAGGGAAGCTGCATTTCCGGACTTCAGTGTAACTCTCATTGGGCAGAATACTACACTTGGCTTCCCTGTTTATGACAGCCCAGTGTGATAATATTTTAGATCTCCATGCCTTTGTCCCTTCCTGTGCAACAGTGTCTGACAGCCTCATGCAGGCAGCACTACTACAGGTACCAAATCAAGGATAAAGCCTGGCACCTTCCCACCAGGAGGGCAGCCAGGTCTACTGTTGTGACCACAACCGACTGGGACCCCTGATGGCTGGGTAAATCTGGAAGGGCCTGCAGGCCTATATCTCTGTGTCCTACTCTGCGAGTCAGACCTCTGTCCCGCAGCTGGAGATGGTGGTGGTGTTAAAGGAGTTTCAGCCAATGGCTGTCGAAATCTCTGCCATCTACTATCCCACATCTACTCAAGGCAAGCCAGACACCAGTCTTCAAGTGGTGGAAATGGGACATCCCTGGGATAGACACGTGCGGGACAGATATTCTGTCTGCTGCAGAGTCCAGACTTCTGCAATGCCTGCGCCCAGAATGCACAGATAAAGACACCATCTGTCGAAGGTGACTAACTGCCCCCATCAACAGTACTTCCGAATTCCTAACACTGCCTCTGGCTCCAAGCCTGGAGCAGAGAATAACAATATAGATAAGACAACTCCTGAGCAAGCAATCAATGCCTCTGAGGGTACAAAACAAACCAAGATCCACCACTCTTTTCTTTAGCACACTCTGACACGGAGGAGCCCCTGAATTTCGCTGATGGTGGGAGCCTAAGGCAGAAGCTGCACTGTGGTATTTCCAACTTGGGAAGCACTAGCCTTGGTTTGGAAGAGCCAGGTGCTCTACAGGGTGTCATGGTGTGCAGCCTTGACTTTGGAGACATGACTGCACTTTTTTTTAGATATTTCCCTTCCCCAACTCTTACACCCCCCCTCTAGACCTAGACCAACTGGAAGATTCCACAGCCACACAATCCAAAGACTCCAGAGCCATCAGAGGAATCAGGTTCAGGGAAGCTACAGCAGCATGATATTATATGAAGAAGTGAACAGGAAAGACCAGAAACTCTCTGATCTGTCTCATGGAGCAACTCAGGCCAGGACCTGGTGGATGAAGAAGCTGGGGGCATTGCTGGGGCCAGTGGAGGGGCTATTGACAACATGGAAAATCACTTGGAGGGCAAAGCTCAAAAATCTGTGTCCGGCAGGCCCAGGATATCTAGGGCACAGGGGGCAAGACAAGACCAAGAGGACCAGAGAAAACAAAACCAAGAAAACCTGGAAGCCGGGCGGTGGTGGCACACACCTTTAATCCCAGCACGTGGGAGGCAGAGGCAGGTGGATCTCTGTAAGTTCGAGGCCAGCCTGGTATACAAAAGCTAGTTCCAGGACAGCCTCCAAAGCCACAGAGAAACCCTGTCTCGAAAAATCAAACAAAACAAAACAAAACAAAACAACAACAACAAAACCCTGGAAGCTAAAGCCATCTTGTCCCAGAGTCAAGGAAGAAGACAAGCTCAGCATCCCCAAGACCAAGAGGAAGAGGAATCCAACCGAACTTCAGCAAGAACAACTTTAAAAAGCCTAACCCCCAGAAACAGCTGACCTGACAAAGGTTAACTCTTGAATCCCAGGCATCAGCCTGGGAATCCAGCATGGGACTGATCAATACCCCCTGAATTTGGGTGTCAGTGAGGAGGCCTAGGGAATCTATTGAGCCTTGGGCAGCAGATCAGTACCCATACCAAGTATACACACGGACTTTGGACTCCCATAGAACAATGTGAGGTGCACTCTCACCCTGAACTCTTGGGGAAGGGTCTAGGCCCTGCCCTATATGAAATGAGAGACTATGGACACCCCCATGGAGGGCCTCACCCTCCCTGGGAGAATGAGGGGGTAACGGGGGGGGGAGCTAGGGGGAGGGCACAGGAGGAGGGGAGGGAATGGGAGAGGGACCTGGAACTGACTTGTGAAGCAACCTCGTTTCTTATCTAAATTTAAACTGGAAAATAAAATAAAAAAAAGAAAAGCCACTGTCATGATGTCCCCTCAATGAGGGTTCTGTCTAGAGGGGACAAGTCTAACAAGGTCACCTGCAACAACAAAGGTGCCACATGCCAGAATAAGTGTGACTCCAGGTATTGCTCATGTCATTCATCTCTGAGACACATAATTTGTGAGATCATTTCTGTGGTTTAGCTTACTTTTCCAACTTCTGCAGAATCTCATTAAATAATGAGGTTTGTAACCAATAAAAAAAAAAGCCTTGAACTCACCTCGGCATGCACAGGTCTTTTACCCACTGGGAAACAAGATTGACAAGACAACGGGCATCTCCTTCTCCCAGATCCCAGGACAGGCCCAGCCACCACATCGCTGCTGGATGCACCATGTGATGGCCCAGGGTCTGCTAAAACCCCGGGCAGTGCTCAGAGACCAGAGAGCAGTGCTCCCAAGGAGTAACCTTTTCCGTCACTGTGTGAGTTTGCGCCTGCTTGGGAAGGTCAAGCAAGCACCGCTGCCTTTCCCAGACCTGGACAAGCCTCAAGCCAGACCTATTTCCAGAAAGCTTCTCTCTCTGTCTTTGCGCAGGCCCACTGCAGCTTACGGCGTGAGGCCAACTTCCCACTCGGCTCCATCTACCACACTGAAGCCATCGTAACCATCTCCTGGCAGCACATCTTTGACAGCCCCTGACAAGACAGCTGTGCCGACTGCCAGCAGTGCTACACAACCTAACATAACCATCTCAGCCAGCCTGCTGCCTCTCTGGACCTGCCCCCTACAGAGGATCATCTCATACTTCACCCCCACAGGGAGCTTGTGTCTGCTGCCAAGAACAAGGCTCCGTCACCTCCCAAACCTCAAACTCAACATCTGCTGCAAGACTTCAGCCGCCAGCCAATTCCATGGAGGGAAGTCGACATTCCAGGGCCAGGCATCTCACAGCCCATCAGAGCAGAGCAGAGACCCGGAGAGGGAGGCCATGAAGAGGTGGGCACAACGGGAGCGACAGAATTCTGGCAAGTGCACCTCTCAAGACAAACTGCATGCTTTCCTTCACAGGGTGAAAGGATATGGGAAATGCTCCATGTTGTAGCTATGCAATATTAAGTCCTGGCCAAGCCTCTGGAAAACAGTGCTATTCATCATAGACAAGGCCACCTGGATTGCTGTGCACCACATGTGTGGAGTTCCCACAGAGGCCAGAAGAGGGCACCGGATCTCCAGGATCTGGAATTCAGAGACCCCATCCCCCACCTCCCCGAAAGTCACTGTGAAGTGTTCTGAATTCATACTGGGGACTCTGCAAGAAAAGCAGTGTTCGCTCGTATGCTTCCCACGGAGCCTGCGTTGAATCTACACACTGCAAACAACATAACTTCGTTTTCACTAAGGGTGAAAAGACTTCACGTTCTATTCACATCACCCATTCTTATGGCAAAGCCATGGGACAATCAACACCGATGGGCAAGCACCTCTTTAATAAATTGAGTTCTTTGTTATACCAGGGTTTGACTTTTGGGGGACCCTCCACACTGACATCCAACCATGCTGGAAATCTTCCCATCCCCATCAGCATAGTATGAGTACAACATCGCTCTCTGGTATCTCCCTCGTGGTGTCTCCCATTTCTTTTCCAGTTGGCCTTGGTTGGCTTCTACTTAAGGTTCACTATGTATGCTCTTACTCTCCTTTTTAATTAAATCTGTGAGGACTGTCTTTTTACTTGTCCTTTAGTAACTGGGTTGCCTTCTTTCTTTTTTTTTTTTGTTCTGTACCCCACTTTTTATTTTTTTTAATCAATAATGATTTTTTTATTCTTTTTTTTTAATTTAGATAAGAAACAAGGTTGCTTCACAAGTCAGTTCCAGGTCCCTCTCCTTTTCCTTCCCCTCCTCCCGTCCCCCCCCATTCCCCCCCCCCCCCGTTATCCCCTCCTTCCCCCAGGGAGGGTGAGGCCCTCCATGGGGGTGTCCATAGTCTGTCATTTCATATAGGGCAGGGCCTAGACCCTTTCCCAAGAGTTCAGGTTGAGAGTGCACCTCACATTGTTCTATGGGAGTCCAAAGTCCGTGT